TAATTTAGAACCCCCTCCCCATATAAACCTGTACGCTTTCGTAGAACCCCCCCCCCCCCCCAACGTTCGCACGCATAATTTTTTTTTCACAATCAACTTTCTTTTCCTCTTCTCATGATTTATTATAAGATTCTGATTTGCTTCACACGTAAAATTTAATGTTAAAAAAACTTAAATGAATTAAAAATAGAAGACAATGAGTACGTACCCGGTTTGACTACTTCTCCTACGAAAGATAGTCAGTTCTTATTGTCTTTAACATCCCCTCCCCCTTGTACGCATTTGTACGCTTTTGGTAAACCCCCTCCCCCACTTAATAAACGAAGCTATCAAATTTAAACAGTTACTACCACATAAGGCATTCTTGGTTATATAAAATGCATTTCCTAAAAGTTAATGTTTTACGAGTAAAAATATTTAGTAAGAGATGTTATTTTACAAAATTATTTCTAACAATAATGCCGTAAAATCTAACCCGTATAGAATTTCAGTAATTAGCGACGCCTTTGTTCTATACTCGGTGTAGTTAAGGCACTTTTAAAATAATAGAGCGTCTGCATGATATTTTGTTGACTGCGACATTTTTAAATGTCGCAGTCAACAAAATATCATACATTAAATGGTCTGGCCTGCGAATTATAAAAAGACGAAAAAACTTAAAATGATAAATTTTGCGGTATCATAAAATATTAAATGTTTTTTAGCGGAAAAATCCAGACCGATGATTCTTTTTTTTCTGAAAAATCACAATCGCTCGTCCAAATTTTAATAAGATTTTTATATTAACAAGTTTTTTAGGTGAAATGAACATTATAGTTTAATAATATGATCTGCCCTGATCGTTTATTGGCAATTTTCCTTAATTATAAACTCTTTTATGGTCGGAACTCCAGTATTTTTTGTGAAAATTGATAGAAATATTGTGTTTTGACATTTATATATAGTTAATATTCGTCAGAACCAATTAGAACTAGGACCAGTAGTAAATTAAGAAACTTTTTCAAAAGATTTTAACTAAATTCATATTAATGCCGATGAGCGGAATTGATCTAAAGACTCCAAGTAGTGTTATTTAGATACACTATTATATATATATATATATATATATATATATATATATATATATATATATATATATATATATATTTGTATTTATATATATATAGGGGAAAGCGGGGCAACATGGCGAACGTTTTGAAAGCTCTGAGTTATTACAAAACTATCAGTCGTGAAGCAATAATACTTTCTCAGTATGTTTATGCTATTAAAATCCATCATTGCCTGCATGAATTTTCAGTTTGCAAATATAACAATTTGAAATAAATATTAAAATAAAAAGTTCATAAATTTGTCATCTGATCACGTGACCGGGGCAAAATGACTTATGCTATTTTTACTTCCAATTTTATAAAATTTTAAAAACTACCAATATCTCTAAATAAAGTAACAAAAAATAAAGACAAATTGCAAAAAACTACTTCTAAAAAAGTTAAACTTGAAGGAAACTATCCATCATGAGAAACCGAAAGTGAGTAATTTTTTTTAAGCGCAAAAAGTATACTTATGCGTATAAAATTGCGTTAATAATATTTCAAAAAACCAATTGGTGTTTTAAAATACAAGATGCAAATACAGTTTCGTTTTCACCCAATTTGCCATGTTGCCCCACTTTCCCCTATATATATATATATATATATATATATATATATATATATATATATATATATATATATATATATATATATATATATATATATATATATATATATATATTTGTGTGCGCGTGTGTGTGTTTGTGTGTGTGTTTATGTGCGTGTGTATGTGTGTAGAAGGAAAAGTTTCAGGTAACAAATGAAAAAAACTATTCAAACTTAAATTTGTTTAAGTGTAACTAACAAATATATTTTACTCATCTAAGTTTGAATTATTTTTTGAATTACTTGTTATCCGGCATTTTTCTTTTACACACACATACACACACACAATATATACATACTATATATATATATATATATATATATATATATATATATATATATATATATATATATATATATATATATATATATAATATATATATATACATAAGAATTCTAACTTTAGCAATTGAACTTGTTTTCTTAACTTCAAAAGGTGTCATTTGTAATTTTCCTCTCTGACCAGGTGGTACAGTAAAAAATAAATGTCGAGCAGTGCATTCATCATGCAAATTAACCCTTTGTCTACCATAATTTTAGAAAAAGGAGATAATAAATCAAGAAAACCACAATCCATAATTAACGCTTTGTTGGAAATGCGACTGGTATAACCTTCTGATATAAACAATCAAAGAATTAGGAGCAACACCTATTAAAAACTTTACAGTATTGTGGTGTTTATATTCAAACTAAGTAACACTTTACAATTCCAAATTTTTTGGGGTTTGTATGAAAATTTCTGAACAGTCAATAATAGCTTCCAAATTTTTATAATTCATTAAGGGCTTGTTGCATTTAACATGCCAAGGTCTGGTACAAATATTAGATGCTTACAAACTTCTGCTAATGTTCTTATCCAAGAATGAAATATTTTGGAACATGTGCTAATAGAAGTATTAAAAAAAACTACTAGCAAGATCTTTGTTAAATGATCCTAATCGAAGTTTCATTAAAGTCAGCAGAAACTCATCTTGTGAACAAAATTTTCTTGCACGTCCTACTTTTTTTAGTGTTCCACTGACAGTTCTTTTAACAGAAACAGAATTAAATTATTTTTTAACATAAGGGCTAATAAAGTCATGCAATTTATTAAATAACTCTAAAGAACCAAGATTTGTATAGAACTTTACATTATTATTTGATAGAAATTTCTACAGGCTTAGTTGGTTGCATTATATCTTATACTGCTGAGTTAGGTGAGTATGATGATGTCATACTCACCTAACGTCAAATAGCCTGCTGCCGGGGGTTCAGTACATACATCGACTGACAAATAGCCTGACTCGCAGTGGAGTGCTGCTACATCGACTGAGGGTTTGGTATGGGTCAGTAACCTTTTCATTCGTTATTCTTCGTTTTCCCTCATCGTTTTCTAAAAACGCTCACTTAATTTAGGCTAGTAAAAAAAGTGAGCAATTGCGCATATAAATATGCTATAGTAGATATATATAATTTTGTTTTGAAGTTTAAAACCTTCAGCTTTTAACTTCTAAATTTCTAAATAACAGTTGATAATTAAAGCATAGTGTTAAAATTAATTAAAACTGTTTGAGTCAAAATGAATTTAATTAAATATTTTTTTCAGTATTTGATACAAACTGACTTTAAGATGCTAAAGTAACAAGATTGTCTGTCAATATTTCTGAAGAAAAAACAAGAAAAACTTTATTTATGCATTACCAAAATTTTTTCGCTAATGTTTGTTTGGATTTTAGTTTTAAAAGTAGAGTTCTTTAAACTGTTTTTTTAAACATATTAGCATTTATTTTATTAACTGCTGTAATCACATATGCATTTTACAAAGAGGCGGATATAGTGGCTGTTTTTATTAAAAATGAATCAGAAATTATGTTGTTATTTCGTTTATTTATTGGTCGATTACAATTAGATGAAAAGAAGGAAATTATTATTTTATTTAATGCGTTGTATATCAATAGTTCTGTAGGATATTCAAATTTTTCATGAACAAAATGTTGCGAACAAATTCTACTGTAATTAGAAGCTTCCCATTGAGATTAGTCTAAATTTACCCTATTTATCAATTTTTTTTCAAATGGATCGACGCTCTGGGTCTTTTTCTTCAGTAGGAGAAGGAATAAGTTTAAATGGTTCGGAACAGCAGCAATTAGGATCTTCTTTTGAACATTTATGAATTTCACAAATAGCTTTATCCACTTTTTAAATTTGGTTGAGTGATTGGAACAACTAATGACAACACAAGAAAGTGATGTAGCCATATTAAGCAAATAATTAAACTTATGTAAACAAAATTTAATGTTACTTCTTATGCTATTTGTTCATTTTATTTATTTTATATCTACTTTTTTGTGTAAAATACGCACGAAAGATTCAAGTTTCTTGTTCCGGAATTTAAAAAATTCCAAATATCGTCTATCTTATAAAAAAGAGTTTCTTTAATTATAAAAACCTTAAGCGAAAAAAAAATTATAGCATTTAAAGATCTTGTTTGCACATAATATGCTGACAAAATCATGCTAATTCCAAATAAAAGTATTCGAATATTTTGTAAATCGCCTTAATTACACCGAGTAGCAATGCATTATATTATTGTTAATGTATATGCGCCCTTGATAAATCTTAGTGAATTAAAAATTGTCGTTGGAAAATGTATCGGAAACTTTAAAACTATATTTCAACTTGTCCTGATTTTACGTAAGAGCGCAATGAAAATTTTACAACTAAAGTTAAGAAATACTCAAGGGATCATCCATAAATTACGCAACGCAAACTTTCAAAATAAACAATACAAGAAAGATCAAGTTTTCCCCTCCAGTCTTATTAAAAAAAAAAAGCTCATTAAATTTATTGATCGCCGCGTAGAAGATCTTAATATTTCCTTATGTTTTTTAAAAATAATTTGCGTTGCATTATTTGGGGACGACCCAAAATTAGCCACAACATTTAGAGAAAGGGAAGGAGTTAGTAATAATACGTAAGCATGTTGTTATAATCGTTATATATACAGTCCAAAATAGATGGTTTTACCGTTACCCTTTTTAAGGATGCTCCTAACTGCAATGCAAAAAGGGAAGTCCAAAACCAGTGATTTAACCATAGTTCATTCTCTAGTGAATAAATTATAATAAACTTTATACTTAATCCTTAGTACTCACACTCAAAGCAAAAAATATGTGCGTATGTATGCGTTTGTGTGCTGATAACCAAAGATAAAAAGAATTAACCATTGTTAATTATAAGTTGAATATTTTGATTTTAAAATACGCAACAGCAAGAAAGACCAAGTTTAATCGAGCGTTTAAATACCCCAATAAAAATGACTAATACCATGGTAGTAAATGCAATATGCAAATACTAACTTTATCTGGCTCACCTAGGCTCAACCTGAGTTACAAAAATTACTCAAATATTTTGTATTAGTATTCTTTAGAAAACGTCTACTTTTTATTTTTGAAATTGGTAATTGAGCCTCATTGCCTCCTCTTTTAACCTGTTAATGAAAAAAAAAATTAATCTGGCGCATTTTGTGAAGAGAAATAATGAAAAAAAAAACAAACAAAAAAAAAACAAAACAATAAAAATTAGCTTACATCATCGTTTATTAAGTGTCAGAAAAGGTAACCATTAGGCGGTAAATTGCTTAAAAAATTATTAGGTGAAAGTCAGTGATAGCGAAACTTTAACTCGGATTACAAACCAGTTCAAATATACTTCCTACAAGACAAAATTTAAATTATATAATATTATAAGTAAAAAACTAACTTAAAATTTATTGTTTTAAAGAAAGTTTCACTTACTTAATATTTAGTAGAACAATAATAAATTCCATTAATTCTGAAAAGATCTTGTTAAGGTCGAATGTTCATTTCTTTCACTAACTGTAACATTTCAATTTTTTAAATCTTTCATAAAATAGATTGTACGCCTATTATTGACCAATATACTCAGAAAAAATTTACTTAATATTTGACATATTTGTTGCAACTTTAAACGATTAGGTTAAAGTATAATTAATTTGAATTTCATCGTCTACTTAACATAAACTTTTGTTTTTTCAATAAAAAATTATCACAGATTTACTTTTAATGTGATCTAGGATAGACCAACAAATTAAAAAACAAAACAAACTAAAACCTAAAACTTTATCTTATAATAGACTTTATCTGTAAAATGAGAATACACTTAAAGACATTAAAAGTTCTTTAGAAGCATGCTCTATAGTTCTGATTTAGCGTTGAAACGATCTTCCTTAAGTTGGTCGAATAGTCTTCCTACTTACAATGCCTTATCACAACTTCTATATTAACATCGATTAATTCTTGCTTAGTCTTAGAGACTTAACGAACTTAACCTATGATGAGAAAAACAAAGTTTAAACTTTCTAATGAAACATATAACTAAGCAAAAACAAAAATTATTATTCTCAAGTTTGTTTTGACACTTTTTAAGTTTATCAATTCAGTAAAAAGTTATTTTTTACTGAGGTATTCAAGAAATCATTTTTAACTGTATTAAAATTTAAAAGGAATTGATAAACCTAAAACCAACATATAACCTCCAAGAATATTTTATATCTTTTTTGATAAGAAACTCAACTTTATGATTATTAATAATCATAATAAAACATTTTAAAACATTGTATTTTTGCTTAAACCATATAAAATTTTTAGATACAGATTCAAACAACTGTTTGAAACTTTGTAAGCCTTATTTTATTGCGGTCATGGACTATTAATTCTATTTAGAACAGCTTTAATAACAGGAAAATATAAAAATATTATTTTAACCTAAAAAATTTAATAACGCATTAAAGTTACCTGATTTTACACATAAATTAATAAGGTTGGTATCGTTGTTGGTTTCCTCCTCGACTTGGATACCCTCCTTGTCCATACGACGGACCTTGATTATATCCACCTGGGGGTTGTCCATAATTAGCATTTTGTTGTCCATATCCTCCAGAAGACTGTTGATAATTTTGTTGATAACCACCATATTGTGGAGGTTGATAGCTTTGTTGCTGATAACCACCTTGTTGGTAACCACCTTGATTTTGATTATAACCGGGGTAAGAAGTAGAGTAGTTGTCATCTGAAGCATAATTGTTGCTTTGGTAACCACTATTTTGATTATATCCACCTCTGCTGCCACCCCGTGGGCCACCACCACCTCTTGGGCCGCTTCCACCTCGCCCTCCACTTCCACCTCTTCCTCCACTGCTACCACCTCGCATAGGACCACCACCTCGTCCACCTCGCATAGGACCACCTCCTCCAACATTTTGATGACCACCACCACCGCCACCTGCTAATAAAAAGATATAAGGATGTCAGAAAAACTATACTTAAAACTTAAGGTTTGTTCCTAGATAAATACATGTAATTTTTTTAAAATAAACTTGTACAAAGAAATTAGGCACTATGCTAGCCATTATTAGGCTTTATGTTAAACTTTCTAGGGGTAGGGATTTTTTAACAATCATATAACTAGTAAATTATGCATTTTGTAAGTTCTGGAAACAAATAGCATACAATACATGTAACTGTTGATGTAGGTACACGCATACCCAATGAGTTATGGCACCGATTATGTAATCAAAATCTTTGACCTTTTTATTAAACTTTTTTTTTTCTAGTTACAACCGCTTTTATATAATTTACTTTTCTTAAAAACTTCGTTGTTGATCACATGTCAAATTAATGTTGAAGGAATGTTGAGAACATTTTTGAAACTAATGAGAAAAAATTAAAAACTTATTTTCTACTAGATTATGTAGCAGACATCTAACTTTTTGTAGCAGAATATGTACCTAAGTTAAAATGTTGTAAATAAAGTGCTTCTAGCAACAAAGTTTCATAATAAAACTACCGTTGGTCGCTGTTATTATAATTATTAAGGATTATTAAGCAATCCTTGTAATCAAATTGTGTTATTTAAATGAGCATGACTTTTTGTAAAATTGTTATTTTGTAATAAAATTTTCACTATTGTAATGCTAATTTTAGCCTCTACTCAATGATATATAATAATCAATAATAAAAATAGTTTAAAATTTTTACACACGTGCCTAGTTGATGTAATATGTAGGTTAAAAAGAACATTCTTTGAACTCTTAACAAAACAAGATTCTTATGGAAAAGTACCCCACACTAAAAGTTTTCTAAGATTTTGGGGCTTCTAGTATTAGTTTCTTATAAACACTTTTAAAAATTAGACATTTAAAAAAATTTAAAAATAAAAACTACTCACTATTACCACCAGCATTATTTTGGGGCTCAGCTTTTTTTATTGAAAGAGTCCTTCCTTTAAGTTCAAAGGATGTTTCTGATATGCATAACCGATCAGCAAAATCTGAGTCATTACATTCTATAAAACCAAATCCTTTTAATTGACCTGTTTCCCTATCTTTTAACAGATCAATTTTTTCTATTCGCCCAAATTTGGTGTCATGACGCTTTTCTATGTAATCTTGAAGTTCTGCTGGTTCAAGATCAATTCCTCTAAAGCCGCTAACAAACAACTTTGTTGTTTTAATATGAGCTCCAGGAGTATTTATCTCTCTTGGCATGGCTCTTTTGACATCAACAGTTTTACCATCAATAATATGTGGTCGACTAGAAAAAACATTTTCCACTGACTCAGACTTTTCAAATGTAACAAAACCAAAACCTCTTGATTGATGTGTATGTGGATCAGTGATAATAACTTTATCTTCTGTGGGACCAAATTGACTAAAATAATTGTAAAATGTTTCTTCAGTTGTATCTCGATTTAGACCCCCAACAAACATTTTTCGCATTGCTTCAGACTCACGAGTATCATCAGAGTAGTTTTGATAGTCATTTCCATTGTAGCTCTACAAGATTTAAAATTTACTCTAGGTACTTAACTTTAACAAATTTTAGTAAAATTTAAATAGTTATCTTTAACAATTATTTTTGTTAAAAACAAAAAAAATAGTAATCAAAACTAAAATTACCATGTTTATATTCTATGTTGTAAATTCCAAGTTAAGAGTCTAGTAAAAATGCATATAATAAATTAAATTTATTAAGAAATGTTTACATTTTAGTACAAATACTATTAACTTTAATTAGTACAAGTACTATTATGGTAAGACTAATGCTAAAATGATTAGTTCAAGTATTATTATAGTACGATTAATACTTAGCAATGCAACTACTATTAACAACAAAAATATAAATTTTTTAATACATTATTATATAATAAAAATAAATATGGTTTGTTTTATGCATGTAATCAACTAATACATACACAGAACGAACTTTATACAAATAATCTCTAATAACATTTAAGATATATAACTTATATAATACTATCACTATCAAATATAATTCGATCTTTACATAGGTTAATAATTTTCTTGTTTTCTAGATTAGTTTCTCAAACATATTTTTATAACTAAATAGCAGAAGAAATAAAATTTTGTTTATCATAAAAAACTGTGTATTTACAATTATATAAAAGAAAGAGAATAAAATTTGAATTTTTAAATCTAAATAAGATTCGAACATTATAGACAACATAGCAAAATTATTAATAAAATACGGTTGTAACTCTTTTACCCTCGAAAAGCTAAGCAAGCGCCAACGTGCTTCGTTGAAAAGAAAAATGAACTTATAATGATTAGCTTCCAGTCTTTTTATTAACCAGACTCAAATCCACAAAAAGTACAAATGGGTCAGCGACAAGGCTCCATGTACACTAAAGGCCGTTTCCACACGACGAAATATTCGAGCGAAGCGAATTTTTATTTTTGCATTTTGATTTCTACTTAATTTCTTATGCGCTACTTTTTTTTCGTTATCAACAATAAAAATGGTAGCTATAAGTTTTTACGCTATAAGTTTAATTAAAAGCAATTATTACTTTTTTTGCATACTTTCTGCTTTGAAACATGTGGAAATTTTTAAACAAATATCTCTTCAAACATTAGAGATTTTAAAGATCTCGAAGCTCTGTGCAAAGGTATTGTTGTCCATAAAAATCTACCTCCAACGGAACGGTCTGCTTATTTCCATGGTTACAGTCTTCATTTGTAATTAATTAAATGGAAAATGCTAGATGAAGGGTTAAACTTAAAACCTCTGGAATAAGGCTGGAAATCAACCAATGAACACCTTGAACCAATTTCAACTGACATAGAAATAGCTCCACCAAATTTTCTCAAGATCTTCCGATGCAACTGCAGATCTAGTATTTATAGGAAAAGCAGTATGAAATGTATGCCAGCATGTGGGGATTGCTATAGGAAGGAACGTAACAATAAGGCAATTTTAATGAATTAAAATTATAATTACCAGTTGATTAATTTATCTAGATAGTGAAATTAATGATCATTAAGTAAAAGCTCTTATATTTTATAAGAGATATTGACCAAGTTTGTATTTGAAAAATAGACCAAAAATGGCGTTTTCTGTTCTGTTGCTTTTTTTTTTTTGTTCTTTATTGCAATTTTTAATACAATCTTTACAAATATATCAATAAGAAAAATTACATGCAAAGAAATCGTTAAAAAATAAAGAATAAAGACAAAGAACGCGGATACTCAAAGAAGAACATACAGGTCTTGTCACCGAGAACCGCTGTTGAAAAACTTTGAACTTAATTTAGATTTTTTAAAAAACAAAAATAAATAAATACAAATTTTAAACATTTCTTTAGTTATGGTCTTAAAAAAGATACTATGATCTTAAAGAAAATACTAATTCTTCTGAACCGCATGACTCAAGCGAAAACAATAATATCTTAATATTCTTGATAAACAAATACGTCTTGCATCTTACTCGCATCTATACTATCACTGAATCTTGTTACTCGAATGTATCATACAATTGCACTAATCTTAATTGTTAACTAATTAATAAATTAACGAAAATAATAAGAATATGATTGCACTAGGTGCATCCAAATGCACTTCAAGGTTGTCCAAAAGATTGTGTAGAAGAATTTAGAAAGCCAAATGATGGTGTCACTGTGTGTGAAACCGAAATTATCAAATGTTGGTGCGTTTCCATCTTAACTAATTTATGCAATTCTATGACATCCTTTGACATCCTAACTAACCTATGCAAAGAAGCTTAACTTTTATGATTTTTCCAGGTATTTTACCATACTATAAGCATCAGTATATCACTGTACTCTTCAAATAAAGGTGAGATCTTTATATATGTGATGTTTATATGTTTATATATGTACTTTATCGTGTCAACAGTGAAGGACAAGCTAAATATATTTAAGGCAAGTAATTAAAGGGCTCTCTCAACATACATATATTGGTAGACGGATTGGTTCATACATGAAGACTGAAATCACAAACTAATGAATTAATAAAGTACAACGAAAGTATAACAAGGTTATTATTCAAGCAGTTTGCTAAATTCAGAGTAGGAAGATGCATATCTTTTAATGATTGCACCACACTTAAGACTATCAAATAGAATTTTCTTGATAGACATTAACATAAACGACTCCAAGTGGACATTCAACAAAATTTCGCATTCTTTTTATGATTAAGTAATAAGATTATGTATATATACATATCCCATGTATCATATGTATATATACATGTGATGCAAATTGTCATAGGTTTAATCATTAAGTCTATATGCCGTTATTCACCTTTTAACTAAAACCTCAAGTAGGTAAAGCCAATCAAAATGATTTCAAATTTTAGGAATGACATGAGCAAATTTCTAGCTTTATGACGCGTCTTGCGTCGAAAAATCTTTGGAGAGTACTGTCACAAGAGTACATCAGCTGATGTATTCTGCAAAGTATTTTTACTACCCTGGGCTTGTGTTATTGTTGATGTAATCTGTGAATTCGGCTCAGTATCTTTTTGTACTGACAAAAATTATGTTATTAATTTGCACTTCTTTAGAGAAACCATTTTCTTTGTCTGCAGTTCTTTCTTTTAGTTTTTGTGCTTCAGATTTTACCATGATGATACCTGAATGAATAAATACTTTTAAAACAGTGTCGGATTAGTTTACAAATAAAAAATTAAAATAAATATCTAAACTAAACCTATATGTTTTTGTTTGAATGTTAAAAAAAAAACGTTTCAAACTGTAATGTAAGTTGAAAAAAAGAAATTATATTATTCTCTTCTATTGTTTTTAATTTTATAATTAACTGGTTTTACCTTTGCGACTTTCAAACGTTTAGAAAGTTGCATTGATTTTCTTCATAACCTTTAAATATTAGGAAAGAAAACTTGCTTTCTTTAAGAAAGCATTTGTTGCATTCTTAAAAAAAACATTTGCTGCATTCTTAAAATTTTAACATTTTTAAGTCCTAGTAAAATAGCTTACTAATAAACATGTTTTATATTTAAATAAATTTTAGCAAGAATTTTGTGACGTGTAACATTTTTAGGAGGATAGTTTTTTTTTTTTTTCCCTCGCTCTTTGTATATATAAAAAAATAAAGTTGATTAAATATTTTTGATAAGTTAATAAATAAAAAAAAATATAATTAAAAAATAATTAAAAAATAAATTAAATAACCGTAAAAATATGTACATTTTAAATAAAAACCAGCTATTTGCATTACATGTAATCACTGGCATAAGTGCGAACTGGCATAAGTATGCCGAACAAATTTGCAAACATTGGCATAATTGCAAACTGACGTAGTGCAAAGCAGTTACAGAAACTGGCATAAATGCAAACTGGCATAATTGCGAATTGGCATAAGTGCGAACTCAAATAAGTGCGAACTGACATAAGTGCGAAGCAGTTGCACCTATATCAATATTTTATAGATTTATTGCGCGCACTTATGCCAATTCGCACTTGTGCCAGTTTGCACTTATGTTAATTTGCACGTATGCCAATGTTTGCAAAATTTGTTCGGCGTACTTACGCCAAATCGCACATATGCCAGTTCGCACTAAAGTCAGTTTTTACAACGCTTCGCATTTATGCCAGTTTGCACTTATGCCAATGTTTTCCACTGGGACTGTAAAACAATCTAAGATACCAGCGGCAAAAACTTACTTCAAGTCATCAAAAAGTGTTTTCCAATTATAACTTGCCGTTGCAAAGTTCTCTGAGAGTAAAAACAGAATTAAAAAATAGGGGAAAGGCTATGATGGCATTCTGGAAAGGCTATGATGGCATTCTGGTTATATTTTCATAAATAATGGTTATGGCAAAAAAGTGATTAGACCAACATGTCAATACTGACTTTACATTAGTTTTAGTAAAAATACGTCTTTTATGCACAAATATTGCTTTTTTAATCAACAAAAATTGATTTTGGGATGTGCTGATGTATTTTTAATCCTTTTAAATATTTAAGATTGTGATTTTATAATTAACTGTGAAGAAATAAAGTTTTCATGCATTTTATTTTCAGGTTTTGTGCATTTAGTGGAATACTTATTTTAATTTTATCTTTTTGGGTTCAAAAAACACATAAAACGCAAAATCTCTCATGCGCAGGGGCAAAGTTCTACACTGTTGCTGTGTTGCACGAAGGGGTTAATAAGGATGATTTCGCGTAATTTGCGGCATTTCTGAGGGAAAACTTTAAGTTCAAATGAAATTGTCAAGTTACCCTATGCTAACCAGCTCCATCCTCCCCTTTGTCATCATAGGAGCAGTAGTTTCCTATGATGGCATGCATGTGCTTTTTTTAAATTAAAAAAATAATAATAAATAAAAAAAACTGATAAAAACTTTTAAGATTATTATTGTTCTACATGTAACAAGGAATGTATCCACATCAAAACTTTTGTTCTTGGTCTTCAGGATACTGAATAATAAAGCTTCAAAGTTAAATATGCCATCATAGGCGCCTTTGCCCTATTTTTGTAACCAATCACTTCATTGAGAATCATTACTGAAAATTTTATAGTTTTCAAATAAAATGGGATGGCTCTATGTACAAGGAGGCCCTAGATACACAAACGTCCCCAACATTTTTTAAAGTTTAATTTAAATTTAATTCAGGGGTCCCGGTGGACCTCCTGAATCAAATAAATTTAATTCAGGGGGTCCACCCGGTCCCCTGAATTAAATTTAAATATCTATCCTAATTTTAAATATGTATCTTAGTTTTAATAATGTATTAATTTTGAATATATATTTAAAGTATCTTTTAACAAAACTATTTATAATAATTCAAAATCTAAGACGTTAAAATTTATAAAATCAGGTTCAGCAACATTTACAATTTGTTTATGAATCTTCTTTAAAAGTCTCATCAAATAAACTAGCGTAATTATGACGACAGCATTTTAAACAAAAACAAATAAGGTTTTTACTCTTAATATTATTAATATTACTCAAAGAAAAGTTAAACTAGATAAACATTCTGGAATTTATGATAATAATTTTTTTTTCTAAATTAAAAATACTCTATGCGTACAAAATACTATAATACAAATGCGTATATTTTTATGCACTATTAGATAGTCTCACATATGTGAGAGGAGAGGAGATCTAGAGGAGAATAAGAGTATCTGATAGTGCATAAAAATACCAATGCACTATTTGTTGGAAAAAGTTACATCAATTTAATTTTTTAAAGAAGTGTAAAACTCATTTGTACGAAAACGAAAAAAATTAATGTTAAAAACGTGGGTAGGTGCCATTACATCAATTTGATAAAATGAGTTAAGCAACATATGTCCATCAGAGGAGACGTGGTGCTTTAGTGCAAGTGTATTCATAAGGAAATACAAAATGGTAAATCGTAATAAGAAAAAATCTAAATAAACTAAAATCTTTAAAAACTTAATGAAGATTTGGACAAAGTGCTAGAAAAACTTGGAATAGACCGATGTCAATTTTAACACAGTTTATAAAAAAATTGATGATTCGTCTAAAATTTCTAATAAAGTTAGCAAACTTTTTAAAAAATGTAGGTGTTTAAAAACATAACTTTTAGTAGAAACATGATTTTATATTAATAAAAACTCATGTACAATATACAGGTAACATAGACAAGTATACCAAGTTGAAATTAAATTGAGTTTTTGCTTAAGAGTAATTGTGTTACTAATAAAAACCATGTTTGGAGGGATTTGTGCTAACTATAAGCCTCTGCATGATTATCAATGTATTTTTTGAGTGGAAAATAATAATTATTTTTGTCACATTGTGTACATTTTTTAAAGTAAATTAAAACTTAATGAGTTAAAAGTAAGTTTTTTTGATTAGATAGGAAAGGTGGTTCTTAAAACGTATATATATATATATATATATATATATATATATATATATATATATATATATATATATATATATATATATATATATATATATATATATATATATATATATATATATATATATATATATATATATATATATATATATATATATATATATATATATATATATATATGTATATATATATATATATATATATATATATATATATATATATATATATATCATCTAATTAAAACGCTATTAAATTTATAAAAAAAATATATCATCAATTTGTTGCTATCATGTTTGGGGTAGAAGAAGAGCTAAGATTTTAGGGTTTCTTGTTCCCATTCTCACAGTATTTTTTTTTTTTTAAAGAACCTTTTTGTCATACGTTTGAACGTAAAAAAGTTAAAAATATTTTTGTTGTTTAAAGTTGGTTATTTCAAACATTTAAAAACTTAATATATATATATATATATATATATATATATATATATATATATATATATATATATATATATATATATATATATATATATATATATATATATATATATATATATATATATATATATATATACATATATATATATATATATATATATATATATATATATATATATATATATATATATATATATATATATATATATATATATATATATATATATATATATATATATATATTATATAAGTTTATAATAACGCTACTAAAAAGCATTCTAATTTAGCTAACCAAAAGTTAAACAAATAAGTCACAAAAAGCTATTTAGTTGCTGTTCCTCATTGAAAAAGTATAAAGCTTATTAAAGATGTATTGTAAGTATGTAAAAAGCTGCGCGAAAACAAATAAATATTTGCTGGAAGATTAATTAAATTCACTTGCAACCCGATTGTGATATTCTTTGCTAATTTGACTATTCGTTGTTTCCGTTGATTTGTGTAGTAGATGTTAAAAACAACTACTGTTGTGTTTTCATTATTTAAACAAAAATAGGAAAGAACTTTTCTAAGATGGCAGTTCGTTAAGCTATTGGAATATTTTAAGTATATCGATCAAAAAAATAAATTATTTCCCAAGGAAAACAAAGATAAATTCCTTTGCGATAGTTAATTGCTTGAAAATAAAACATTTTGTTTTAATATGATTTCAACTTATAACTTTTTATTTTTCTTTTCAACAACAATTTTAAATGTTTACGTTGTAGACCTTGCGCCTGTGTAATTAGAAACCGAGTTCTTAATTAAAGAAAAGCAAAATATTTTACGATAAATCTTAATTAAGTGAACGGCAGAAAGTTAAATAAATAAACGTTTTAATTTATTTAAGTACAGCGGTAGAAATTTAGTTGCGTAAATATAATTGAATAGCAAGTTTTAACAATTCTTTTTTTGAAAAAATAAATCACAAAGAAATTTTTGGCTTGGCGAAAATGGAATGTGCAACTTTTTAATGAAATCATTATAATTTCGGAAGTAATTTGAAGATTTAAGAATAAATTAGTTTTACATTAAAGTTTACAGTGAGTTTAAATATTTATTTCCATTAAGTGTTGTTTATAATAATTTTAATTTTATTTTAATAAAAAGCGAAGTAATTTTTGGGAGAAATTTTTGTTTAAATTCATGAGTTATTACTTTTACTAAATAATACTTCCTAAGGCAAAAATAGTTTGAATGCGTCTTTCTTTTTGAATAAGTTTGCCTGCGAAAATACCATACGACTACTTTATTTTTAATATTATGTAATAACCGAAGATTTATTCTTTAAAAAAAAAAAATGTGGAAGCGTTACATATTTAAATGTGAGTATTCATTTGGCCACTGGACAATGTGTTAGGCCCCGCGAATATATAATATCAATTTAAGTAAATACTAATACGTCATTGTCGATATGTCAGTAGCTTATACTGTTTTGTATCATATAAATTATTGACGTATATATAAAATTGAATTTTTTAAGTATTTTATTTTTTTATTTTAACTGCGTTAATATCTGACTATATTTTGAAATTGAATAAAAAAATTTTAAAAAAGATTTTTGATAAAGAATTTCAAAACTTTATACTATATAATATAATTTTTTTTGATATGTACATTATAATTTTTAAATAACTCTATCTACTTGCAAAAAGTCGCAAAAAGTTTTTTCGTTTTTCATTTTAATAGCCGATTTGTAAACATTTTGTTTACTTTACTTTCTTCAACAGCGAATTGACTTTTTCTTGAACAAAGTCAAATTAAAAACATTTGTTAATTTTTAAAATTGAATTGGTTTTTTCCAAGTTTTGTATATTTATAAATTTAAGGAAATTAATACTGAAGAAACAAAACTAAAGTAAATTTTGATAATTTGTTTTTTAGCTGCACTGTTAGTTAAAAGTTCATAAGGTTTTTCAAAAGGCTTTAAAATATGTTTCTTAAAAATAAAAAATTTTCATAACCAAAATTTTTATATTCAGGCCATGCACGTGTTTTTCCCTGGGGCGTACAAGTACAAGTTTGCTACCATCGCAAATTTTAATGGCGCACGAGTACAAAACGTTTAAAACATGCGTTTCCCATCATTAATTATTCATGACTTATTTTTGAGTTAAACTATGCTCAATTATAAGGGAAGGTTGCGCAAATTGAGCATGTTAACAGCGCATATTATATATTGTTTTTTGCAGCTGAAATATTATAATATTTATATTTATTATTGCAGTTTATCATAGTTTAGTCTTTTCTCTTTAAGTATATAAATGAATAGTTCGTTATAAAAAAAATCTATATACCAAAAATTGCGTTATTTTCAACACACCAAATCATCTCATTTTAAGAAACCAGTTTTCTAACATGAGCTTTTTTTAATGGAACTCAAAAAAACTCAAAATAACGAATGAGGGTTTTAATGTTTTAAATGTTTGAAATAACCATTTTTAAACAAAAAGAATATTCCAATTTTTTTTACGTTCGTATGTATGAGGAAAAGAATTATTTACTTTTTCATAAATATAAACTAATTATGTATTCATCGACAGATTTCAAATTTTTGTTTAAATTATTCAGTGTTCAGTTTAAATGACCATGTAAAGAATTACCCCCTCCTTAATTTGAGGCGGGCGACAAACTTTACACGTTCATAAAAACTGAACACTGAATAACTTAAACATAAAATTTGAAATCTGTGGATTAATACATAACTAATTTATATTTATGAAAAAATAAATAGTTTAACTAATTGCCCTTACTTTTAGGGTAGGGCTAAGATTTTAGGGTTTCTTGTTCCCATTCTCCTATCACAATAATTTTTTTTTGTGAAGAATCTTTTCGTCATACAAATGAACGTAAAAAAATTCAAAATATTTTTTTTTGTTTAAAAGTTATTTCAAACATTAAAAAACTATCCTACGGGGTCGTCCATAAAGGACGTCATTCAGAAAAATTTTATTGAACAAAAGGCGCTATAATACTCGCAGAGATTTTTATTAAACAAAAGGCGCTATTATACTCTAAAAGTCTCTGCGCACGAGAGCCAACATTTTCCGACTTCTTGCAATTAGTTAAACTTAGTGTGACGTCCTTTATGGATGACCCCTACGCCACTGGTTATAAGCATCCTATGTTTTAATTGTTTAAAATTTAAATAACATTTAAAATATTAAAAGTGTCTTCATTCCCTTCATTTGTTTGCAAATATTTTGAAACAGATGATGTCCAGTAGCACCCCAAAAACTTTTAGCACAACACCACTCCATATGTATTTAAAAAAATATCATTTGGATACATATAAAGGAAAAAAAGAAAAAAGTGGAGACACCAAGAGAGAGAAAATTAGAAACGATTAAATTGCAAATACAAACTAGCATTAATAATTTTGTTCCTAAAAAAATTTGGGGTATAAAGGACTTGCGCTCTTCCAAAGTTAATTAAAGAATAATGAATTTTATTGTAATAGACAATCAAACTTTTTCTGTAGTTGAAGATCAGGGGTTCATTGAATTGATCACTCATTTGTAACCATAATACCTAATTCTAAGTAGAATGTTTTTTAAGGAAACAATGCTACCAGAATCGTATGAAAAATTAAAAACCGTAGTATTTAATGAAATTTCTGAAGCTGATCATATTTCATTTACAACAGATATTTGCACAAATACCCATAATAACGATGCATTATATCTTTGACTGCGCATTGGAAAAAAATGTGCTTTACACTGTAAGCATTTTCCACGGTATACTTGAATAAATATTACAAAGTCATTCGATGCACTTGGAATCAGAACTTGGAATTGAAAGTCAGAGTCCTCACCCAGTGGGCACCCGACGTTAATCCGACGTCGGATTTACGTTGGATTTTCATCAGCGACGTCAACAAACCTATTCCCACGTTGTTCCAGTGTCAGTAAAACGACGTCGGAGCAACGTCAATATCTCGACATCCCCCGACGTCGTTTTGATGTCTTTTAACGTTATTCCGACGTCATGAAAAAGACGTTGTGAAATGGATGTCGTTTCAACGTCAATAAAAAGACGTCGGGCGACGTCGTAAGACATTGCTGATGAAAACTATATACAAACCCAGCGTTTGGTGAGCAATTGCGCTCTTTAATAAAAATGTGTACCAAATTTGTTTCTTATTAATGGAAGCTAGTTTAAATAATGGTTGATAAAACATCATGAGGTTTTGTATGATGCAATAGCAGAGTTTTTTAACTGTTAGCATTTTTGAGTATATATTTTTTATAAAATATAACCGTTCGTTTTAATATTTATGTAATATTAAAACAAAATTATTTCTTATCAAAGTAATAATTCCCAAAAAGCTATAAGTATATATTACTAAATAATCACCCTATTTAATATGTCCCCGTAGTGAAGTGGTAAACGCGTAGGATATAGAATCTAATAGACCGAGGTTCGGTTCCTGTTTAAGGCAACATTTTTTAGTTTACAAAAAATACGTTGGATTAACATCGGAATGCCGACGTCGCACGATGTTAGTTTATCCGACGTCAAATAACATTTCCATTTCCAACGTAAACCCAAATTCGATCCGACGTCGAGATCTGACGTCGCTCGACGTTTGTTTGACGTCGAAATGCCCACTGGGCAGGCATCTCATGTTTTCATATTCCTCATGTCATATTCATCAAATGCAGCTAGTTATCAAAGATAATTTTTTAATCAGGTTGTGTATAACATGATAAAGAAATGAGGCAGTATATAACATGATAAAGAAATGCAGAAGAATCTGCACTCATTTTAACCATTCGAGTTTGGCTTGCACCGAATTAAAAAGAATACAGAAAGAATTAGATTCCAAAAATTTAATAAGCATATCGAGGATATAATAAATTTTAAATAATCTTGTTTCGTTCTGACGTAATTACAAAATATTGAATAATAAAAAATTATAACGGGGTTGATAAATTTTTTTACCAATAATTTTAAAATAACACCGTCGAACATGAATATACTTAACTAAAAAAATACGCAAAAAAAATCAGTAATCAGTAAAAGAGGTTATGCCATCTTAAGAACCTGCTCATCTTTATGCAACCTTCCCATAATAAGTTGTTTAAAAGTAAATTTAAAAAAATGCCGATAAATTTACTTTTAATTTAAAAAAGAAGCTAATTTTTTAGTTTGCGATGAAAATATTTTCCGCAAAGTGAAAACAGGCTATTTTATTATATTACTCGATTTACAAAATTCTTTATTGGAATTTTGAATCGAATAATATAGATGAAGACGATAAAGCATTAGTAGAACTTTGTCTAAAAAATAGATATTTTTAGATTAAAAGAATTCCAAATATTTTAGCATGCTTAGAATGTCACACTTTAATGGAAAAGATTTTAGCTTGCTTTGTCAAACTTGCTTTCTAAACTAAATTGATATACGGCGCTTTTCTTATATTATAATAGAGCTTACCCTTTCCAAATTAACCTAGAAACACAGGGCCGTCCCGAGGGGAGGGGCGTAGCGTGTCCAACCCTAGGAAATAACTTAGTTGCCAAATTCGGAACTGGAATTGGCAAAATTGGATCTGTAGTTAATAATTAGGATAAAACCTTCATTCAGTAGCATTTAATGCTTCACGTAGAGTAAATTTTCAGAAATATTAGAATATTGTGTAGAGTATTGACTTTTTTTTTCTTCTATAATACTATTTTGAACTTTATTTGAACTCGATTAATAGTGATTAGACATTGGTTTACGATTATCTCAATATTTTTTAATATTGAGATAATCGTAAATATTTTTCGTTGAAGTGACTTATCAATTTTGCAACAGAAAGAAAAAGCTCATGATCATCTTGATCAATCGTTAAATGTGTTCAACTAATTGGCAAATTTTCTGCTGAAACATTGTAATTTCTACGAAACGAATTTTTAATATACAAAGGAATTTTTTCTTCCTATAGGTATTTTGTCAACATTATTTCTATAAACTTTCTCTACTTTTTCACCATGGTTCATTTCTAAATTCTCGTTTATCTCGTTACATTGTGTGTCAAAATTATTATTAATAATTT